CCCAATGCAGAGCAAGCATGTTAATGAATCGACTCTCTTTTGCATTTGAGTATTTGACGGTCAAGAGGCACTTTGAGATACCCGCCTTCAGTTAGTGGGTGGTGGTTATTTGTAATCACTGCATAAGATGTTATGTAATACGCTTTTTTTGCTATTGCTCTGCAATAGATCGCTGCCTTGTATTGCAATTTTCACGTGACATCGATGTAATTATATTAGCCTATATTTCATCGCCTTATGGCTATCAGGTTTTTTATTGCAAGAAATAAGGTGGGGCAAAAAAATGTTATGCGATTCAATTATAATTATCCTTTAATAAATGTACGAAATTATTGAGAAATGACTTTCTACTTTGAGAATCCCCAGTAAAGTAATTGGCTGTCATAGAAGGGCACTTAAAATGAAGTGTTTTGGGTAAATCGATTTGTCTATGATCGTTTGCCTACAATTCTTAAAGCAACCCGGAATTTCATTGTAGGGCTTTAAATTATGTATGACAGGTCCCGATCCTCTGCGTATCCACATTTAGGCCACTATCTCTCTCTCTCGTCATCCATGCATTTTTTACACCTTATATGTGTGGAACTCCATAAGTAGTAGTCACCCTTCCATTGCCACTTTGATGTGTCTCGTCGTTCTATTGGACCTAGTGGTGTGGCTTCTCGTACTAAGTGGCTCTCATTTCATTTTTAATGAATTCATATTAACCCATAAGTTGAAGAAATATGTAGCTTACCCCCTTTAACATCCAACCACACCCACGCGTATTTCACAGCAGACTGATGCCACCGATGTGATGAGATTTGGTGGCAAAAGGTGAAGGCTACATAGACACGTATTGAACATGTTTCAAACGGCAAAAGCGCGCTATCTATTACGGGTCGAGTACCAATGGTGGTTATTTTGAAAGAGGATCGTACGGTCCTGCAGGGCGCTAAAGGGTTGGAACTCATCTCTGCAGACCAGCTCTATCAACAGATTGAATTTAACCATTTTTTCCCGGTGGCTCTAGTTACATCTAGTGTTTGTTGCGATGACCTCATCAAAATGAAATATTAAACCATACTCCACTTTCTACACATAGGCAGAGTTTCTTAACCCCCCTTTCTTATTCTTTCGTCATTTTTAGGCTACTTCCAGGGTATGAACGATCTTCTCGCCGTTATCATGACAATTATCGAGGGTGAAGAGGATGCTTTCTGGTGTTTTGCTGGACTTCTTGAACTCATTGTACGTTTCTACCTTCTCTTGCTCTTTGCATTTTATTAGCCCCAACATTAGTCTCCACGCGATGATGATGATGATGGTGCTTATTCTTGAGATTTTATTAGCGAATGCATTTTCGAACGCGCAGTCGGGATCAACTTTACTTCCATTTTAAGACTGATCGTATTTCCACATGATGGATTTTTATGGTTTTGGAAAAATATCTTCCTTAATTGAGAGTTATTAGGTCTGCTATTCCACGCGGCATCCTTTTTTTGAAGTTTTATCATCTCACATCATCCTACTAAATGCTAATTTGCAAAATAGACGATCATGTGATGATAGATCCCGTCTTCTTTGTTTACTAAGATTCATATTGGACCCCCCCCCCCTGTGTCCTATTTTTGTGCGTTCTAGGACCCCCTCGATTTATTCTCCATGGGGTGCATACTTGGGCAATAATTTTTTTGCGTGTGACTGTTATTGATCGATGAGAGAAGATCGCACGAATCAAAATCATTGCTGGACGCCTATTTGTAGCCTCCGAATCCACAATTATCACTTGAAGTCGGCGACTAAAGAACGCGTGTATTCTAGGTCACTTCGTGTGTGATTCAGACTTGCCAGAATCGCATCTATTCACAAACATCTTTTACGGGCTGGGGTGATGAATAGAGTCGTCGGTGGTTAGAAGCTGGTCTGTCGAAATACTTTTATGGGGCTATTGATGACGCGAAATGTCACTTTCTCATCTGGAATTTTACCGCAAAATAGAGGGAATATCTAACTCTTTGACCTTGAACTTATTTGTGTTTATCACGTTGGAGCATTTTCCATTTGGCATCTTCAACTTCCCCCTTTAACTTGAAATTTGTTAGTAGTACTATTTACACTTTTAGTAGCATTAGCGGTCACAGTTTTGTAAATTGGATTTATTACTTTTCTGGCTATTTTGGAGGCTCTAAAGCTTACAACCCCCTGTTATTACTCCTCCTTACTTACTTATTTCCTTATGACACTTTCATCAAATAAAAAATTTTTAATACAGCAAAGAACTAAAATTTAAACCGAGTTGGTTCTGCACTCTTCTTATTTTGCACTTTCTGCATTTTAATAGAGAGAGTCGTCAAATGTCCAAATTGTTTAAAAGTACGTTATAAATGCATAGAGTAATAGATAATGCTTGTGGGTTAGTGTATAATTGTCATGAAACTTTATTTGATAATCTAGATTTTTGTGAAAAAGACGCTATTTTTAGAATTCTAATGTCTAAGTTCTTGATGTTCTGAAAAAAGAACAATGTGCTTGCTAAGTAAACAATTCCGTTCAATTTGCGAAAATCGATAAGTCAGGAGATTGCACTCTCGTGACATTGTTTTGCTCAAAATGCTAGAGCCACAATCCGTCCTTGGTTGTGCATTTGGCTCCGTAATTTGGGGCAAGATGCTTTTATCCTTCCACCTAGAAGGGTCTCATAATTTGATTTAACTCTGCCCATTAACCGGGTAGACTTTTGTAGTTCTTGTTGAGCGATTGATGTTTTTCCCGGTAGAGCCCAATGCATGCGCTATGATCGATCGGGGTTATGACCTGGGGGGGGGGGGTGAGGGAGTTGGGAGGTCAACCATTGGGGTTGGTGTTGTAGTAAAATTTCCCTCAGCAACAAATGATGCCAACTTTCACCTCTCGATCGGGTCTCCGATTGATGTCTCTAATTGTAGTTAAACTCAATAGCCAAGGCTCAGCTCAATCCAACGAGCTCTTATAACCTAGTCAGTTGGTTTCTACCACCCGATCACCCTCTTGCCAGATGACAGACACTCCGCGGGTTCCAATCATAAAAAATCTAGGTCATTTGAGGGCAGTTTTAATGTAAATTCATCCTTTGGATTCTACTGAAGTTGTTGGCAGCATTCAATGACTCATTCCTCTTTGTCTCGGTTTCAGTTTTCAGCTTGCCTTCTTGCCTAACGATTTCTCATTTTACGAGGCATTTTGATTTGAAGCAATGACTGAGAAGGTAGGAACTCCATTATTACTGAGGTCAGCACTGCATTCGAGTTCAGCTTGACTAGAATGCTCTGTTGCTAGACTCATCTGCTTGCACTTGACAGAGAGGATTCATCATTAGATACAGGCGGTTGCATCACTAAGATTGGAACCAAATCTTTACCCATGCACATGGGTTATCAAATGATGAAGGTTGATGATCATTGGGGCGTCACAAATCCATGTACCTTGAGAATGACGCAGTTTAATAATCTCACTCAGGCTGCTGATGCACTATGCAGACTGAAAGAAAGTACAAAAGAATGAAATTTCGTAAAAAATATTCAAGTTTAATCAGACTCAGACATTTGCCCAACAGACATGAATAGTCCAACAACTCATTGTTGCCAGTGCTAAACCTGACGACCATTCTTCTAACTCCACTTCCATAGTGCCCCCACGATTAGCGCTTCCTACTGCTAACTGGAGCACAGTTTTGTGGGGGCGGGGGGAGGTTGGGGGGGCGGGGGTCGGCATCATTATTTCTTTTACCTTTTAATAAGTACAAAATTCATCTTGTGTGGAGGCTTAGTGTGCTTTCGACAATTGGAGCCACTAGTCATTCTTTTATTGCTCTTTGATGGCCCTCTCGTTTAATACCACTCACCCCACCATCCTCCCACTGTTAGTGGATTACCGTAACATTCTGGCAAAGTAGTGGTTGAACCTTTAATCCTCTTTTTAGTGGAGGATTTAAGTAACACAGACACACTGCATTTACTTCGATCTGTTAAAGCTAAGTCGAATGGAGACCCAGAAACTCAGTCCCTTATTGGATCATACTCATCTATCTTCCAATTTTCTAACTTGACGTGTGCTTTGAACATCTTAATTTAGGGGCTGTTAGATGTGAACTTGGCCACCCCAGCCTAGTGCTGTGCGAACGTAAAACACGATGCTTGTTCACAAGGGAGGTTGCTTATTTCGAGGAATGAACAGTTGAATTTCTTTCCTGAGTTTTACAGGATCGATAGTGCTTACTCCATGGTGTAGTTATATTTGACCTTTTAGCTGTTCGTAGATATTTTGAAATCAAACTATCGGCTTAAAATGTACCAAAATCTCAAGTGAAGGGACTGTGTGGAGTGCCGCTTTAATGTCTTCTAAAGTATAGCCTGCAGATAAAACGTTGTCTAATTAAAGGCCATTAAGCTCTGAATGAATGGCCACTCGTCATAATGCTATTTCTATCTCTCCAGTGTGGGACGTGTGGTTGAATGTATCCGGATTTCAAGGCTCTCATTGGTCCACTGTTTTCCAATGTTACTCTAATTGGTTTACCATTTGTCGAGGTTTATTAGCTTAGCCTTGCTTACTTTCAATAATTCAGTAGCAATGTGATAAGTAACTCACCACCTACGGGTTAATTAGCAAGATATTTATTTATTTATATCAAATGACAGGCCTTATGATAGTTATCATTAGCCCTTTAGTTGACTTTGGCCTTCATAGAGGGGCGGAAGAACATCAAAGTCACAAAAAGTCGAGGGGAGGGGAACAGAAGAGTGGTTCACGGATGTGAAAGAGACAGACACAAGGGTAGAAAAAAGGGTGAGGTGAGTACTGTGAAAGTGGTAGGATATAACATGCAGTCGGGCCATTATGGTTTGAAGTCAGAAGTCAACTGCCGAATAATAGACTTTTTTGCCATGTGAGTATACGTTACCCAGGGTGCACCACGTGGAGGTTAGTCTATCGCGCACCCTTATCAGCAAGATGTAAAATGAGCCGTATTTACTCTCGATTGGGTTAATTAAAAATTCCTTTCGGATATCTAACTTGCTTATTGTGTTTTGGGAAATGGGAGGCTAAGTTCGTCTACGATCACGGTAACTGATTGGGTAATGCTGTTAGGACATTTTCAAAGTGATTTAATAGATTCAATAAGATGGAGATACGGAGTATCTCCCGAGTGTTTAAATAGTCACTGAGTACTGTTTTCTACCGTACAAACAGCTGTTTAATCATGCTTTTTATTAAAGGATTGGCATGTTAGTCGTCTAAAAGCGGGTCTTTTCAGTGTGACTTTAATTATTCTCGCTAGGACCCTTCTTCCGTATATTAATCGTTAGAAGCGGATTCGTGATGGGTTTTGGCCCTCTCATTCGTTTCGCGCTCTCTCCCTCCCTTGTAGAGTGCAATTCCGACAATTTTGGGGAATGTACTAAGTCTGTAATTCTGCTCTGCCCCATTCTATTGCATTGAATTTGCTATGCGTTTTATTTGTAAGGACATTTGTCATCATTATCCTTTCTGAAATGCTTATATCAAATGGCAGGCGTTTTGATAGTTATCAATAGCACTTTAGCTGACTTTGGGCTTCACAGAGGGAAAGAAACATCAAAGGGCAAAAGTCGAGAGGGGGGGGGGAACAGAAGGGTGTTTAAAAGATGTTAAAGAGGCAGACACAAAGGTAGAAAAAAGGTGAGGTGAGTACTGTGAAAGTAGTCGAATATGACATACAGCCAGGTCAATATAGTTTGAAGTGAGAAGTCAACTGCCGATTAATAGACTTTTCTTGCCGTATGAGAATACGTTGCCCAGGATACACCACGTGGAGGTAAGTCTATCGCACACCCCCCTTTGTGAAATATACACCTGAATGAAAATAAATGCTGATTAGCATTATTCCAACTCATGTGTGCTCATTTGCTTCCCTGTTCAGGCTGACAACTTTTCTGATGGACCGTCAAGTCTCTACAGTCAATTCCACAATCTCTTCAAACTAATTGAAATCCTAATGCCAAACTTTGCTCACTTTTTACGTAAGTAATCAACTTTTTTTCCCTATCGCATATACTTCCAAAATTATGTGTTTATTCATATTTTTGTTTGTTTGTTGAACCATCTTCAGGCGAAAAGGAGGCAACGTCGATGAGCTTTTGCTTCAAGTGGTTCCTCATTATCTTCAAGCGAGAGTTCTCCTACGATGATATCAAGATACTTTGGGAGGTGAGTGCCGGTGCTTTTTTGGCATGAAGCTATTCCCTTGTAATCGAAGTGGCTTCAATGAGCAGAGCAGAGCAGACAGCTCGATTGTCTCTCTCGTAGAAATATGTGTTTTGATCCTATAGATAAACTCGTCTTTTCCACAACCTCTTTCTTGTCACCGTGTTGTAGTAACGTTTAGTTGCTTTCCATGTCTCTTATGGCAATCGGAAGGTAGAAAGTCACTTCCTCTCATTCCGAACGTTTGCGAGATTGTGCCGGTGTGGTTGGTCATCCACATCACCGAATGTTCATCGATGAGTTAAGGTCTCATAACTACTTATTCATTAGACGAGCGCTCTAAGCACACTGTATTTTTGTAGTATACCTAACGGACTTATCTCACTAGCCATTATAAAAGCAAAAATGAATCATGGACGCAAACGATCGGTTTGAAGCTTGTCAGTGTGTCCATCAAATCCGACGTTAGATAAATTTTACCGCACTATGCCTCACTTGAGTTCTTAGAAGATTACTGTTGCTTGTCTTATGAATCTGGCACTCATTTACTAAAAGCAATCATATTTATCTATTTAGTAAATTGAGGTGTTACGTAGGCATTGTACGTGTGTGTATTCACCTCTTTTCAGTTTTCTTTTGTTTCGCCCTCTCTTTTAGACCCTCTTCAGTGGTGTTGCTCCCAAGAATTTCCACCTGCTCATTGCAGTGGCCATTTTTGATGCTGAGGCGGATTCTATCATGCGAACCTGCCAGGATATGAGTCAAATTCTGCAGGTAGGCACACACAATTGTTTTTTTCATCTATCATTAGATTTATTAATAATAATTGTCGTTAAGAGTAACTGGATTAGAGTTGCCCAATGGCTTTGAAATTGAATTGACTGTCACCGGTGCGATGGGGAGTGGGGGGGGGGTGTTAGAGCTCTATCCCAGTCACAACTAACTTTCCGTCTTATAATTTAAGAATGAATGGGTAGTAAATCTGTTTTGAATCGACTTTTCAAACAGAGGATAGAATGGGAAACAAATGTTTGAGATTTGATTGATTTTCTTATTTTTTATTTCCATGCGTCTGTTGATTCTATTTCTTAAAAAAAATACGATTGTTAATGCATGCAGCCTGAATGAATGGGCAATTGTCACTTGTAACAATTGAAAATCTTTGACCAACCATCTTTGGCAATTTCTAGTCCTGTTCTACAGGGGCTTTGCCACCACTTGTGATGAATAGGAAGTGAAATTGTCATTTGGTAGATTTGATTTTTACAAGGGAGCAAAATGAATGCTAATTAAGTCTAGAAATAATTTTTTTCGTGTCAATGAGAGAGACTTTCGGATTTGTATCCCGATGATGTCCTTGAAATGCATGCCTTGTTCCTTATTCCTAATTGCCTAGTTCTCCCTTTTTATCTTTTGGTTGATCTGCACTGATTGGGTTCAAGATATGACACTGGATCTATTTTAGGTCCAATTTTGGCTGTCATTCAAATCCCCCAAGCTAGAACAAAAAAGATTCTATCCTCTGTGCATTTGCTTTATAATTTCGAACTGCACATAAGTTATATTGTTGATAGAGTATGTACTTTTGGGTGCTTTCGTCCAAGGTAATGAAAAGCCACTCTACTCGTATATATGTCCATTTGTGAATGAGTTCTAGATTAACCCCTTTGAGACTAACTGAAAACTATGTCCACTCTTTGCAATGATTCTTTTTTTTCACATTAAATGCCACATTGATAACTACACTTGTGGAGATCTCTGGAAGTATTTAATTTGTGAATCCACTAGTCACACCATTCTTCCGACTTCTGAATTAGCGTAGATTAGGGCAGGCAGTTTAGTGATCCATGGATAGGCGTTATCTATCCTAGGCATCGTTGTTTAGCAGCAGGAAGCGCTAATTGTGTGGTACTATGGAAGTGGAGTTAATGAGTGGTCTTTAAATATGGTGCCGACAATAATGGGTTGTTGGGCTAATGCCTGAGTCTGATGAAGTCGCTTATCTCCAAGTGTGTTGGGGTGTTCTCACCAAATGTCATTTTTTTTCTGCACCTTCTTTATGCATAGTACATCAACAACCTGAGTGAGATGATCAATCTAAACAATGTTCTGAGTCGTGCTCAAGGCATCTTCAATCAGCTTTCGGAAGTTCGCGACTGTCTTCCCAATGAAGTAGCCGTTTTCCTCGGCTTCGCTCCTCCACCCTCATCCGGTCCTCCTGGCGATGGTCGCCATCGAAGTAGTGTTGACGAGGAAGGACTCCTAGCAACCTGCAATTTCTCCCTGGAATCTGCTTTTCCCTCTTCAAATAGCCCTCCCCTCAACGACAACGCTAATGACAAATCGATAAGCGCAGTGGAAGTTGGCGAAGACGCCACTAATTTGATGACGAATGCCCACACTATGGCAGAATCCTCTGGAGACCCATAGTAGTAGGGCTTTTTCGCTTGCCTGTCTGGTTGTACATAGATGAATACGCATTGGTGGGGTACTTTGAACGGTTACATATTTATCTCCTTGCTCCTCTTTTCGATACATGATAATGCTAATTGTCGCATTCTGATTTAATTAATTTAATAAATGGTCTACATTCTATTGCATCGGTTTTTTTAAATGTATACAACCACTTTGTTTGTGGAATAATGATGCTTATTGCACATTTCATGAGAAAGCATCAAAATATGGGGTGGGAATAGCTAATGCGTCCAATAAGTTGTGGAATGCGATTTGTGTCAGCTATAGGCGAATAATGAGGTGGGAGTATCGTGAGCTGACATTTGAATTATGGAGTGTTGAGCTGTCCAAGCGAGAGTATTCGCGTTTTGACGTCCATAATGTTCAACATTCACCATTTAACCCTCAAGTTCGTGGATACACGGAGCTTCATGATCAGGGTCTCGAATAGGCTCTATTTGTTGTTGATGTCGTGTCTATTTATCAATTTCCAAGGTTTTCATGAAAGTAGGACCAAGCCTTTGCAATTGTGCAATAAATATCTCATGATAAATTTTCAATGACACCAATTAAGCATAAATATCTCCATATGTGTGTGGGCACATCATGTTTGGCAGTTCCCTAACCTGTTTTACTTATTCATGAGCAGTTTTACAATACCAAGTAGTAGATAAAACGTTTGGAATGGCAAATTATTGTTCTCCAGTCGGGATGTGCGATAGACTTATCAACACGTGATGCACCCTGGGCAGCGTATTCACAAAGTCTATAAACCGTCAATTGACTTTTGACTTCAAACTACCATGGCACATTCCACCGCTTTCACAGTACTCACCTCATCTCACCCTTTTCGCTACCTTTGTGTCTGTTTCTTTGAGTCACTCTTCTATTCCTACCCCCTCCTGTCGACTTTTCGTGACTTTGATGTTCCTCCTCCCCTCTGTGAAAACTAAAGTCAACTAAAGCGCTTATGGCAACTACCATTAACGCTCTTCAGTCTCCTGAAGTTACCACCATTGTGAACCTCGACAGTTGGCCCGTGAGCTTTATGCTCTTCAGCTTTGCAGCATTATCAGTCAAATATTTTTAATTTGGTACAAAGTCAAAGAGAACAATGTGGCTCTGTTGACTTATTATGTGGTCATATTTTTTTGTTGAGGTGAAGGATCCAGGTCCTGACCGCATTTTCACTTCACATGCATTCATACATTATTGAAGTAAGAACCAATTAGCAGTATCTTGACATATCAAATGACCACAATTTGACGTACGCATGAAATTCTGCTAATTAAAGTATTTTGATAAATGCGTCATCTGTCAGCTTTCATTTAACGATTATTCAATTTTCAAGAATTTACGTTACTAACATTTTATAAGTAGAAAATATAAAATTCATTTGTTTATTAATAATCCACGGACCTTTATCGTTGCTAATTCTCCATTATTTTATGCCAAATATAAATCTGTGTATGCTTTCCTAGTGTCATTTTTTAATTATTTTTTGCATTAGTCATTCGAAATCAAAATAAATTATTTAACTCGGGATTGAGAAAATGAAGGTTTAAATATATTCCTATTTCAATTTTCAAGATGCGTTCGTTGTTTTATTTGGCACGTAGTTTCGAAGAATGAGGATTATTTATTTATTTATTATTTGTTCAAACCCATAATGATAGATTTCTTTTGAATTATTCTTTTTGAATTTCGTATCTTTACTAGATAAGAGAGAATTCGTCCGAATGAAGTGTCGAACCAAAGACATAATTTTCACTGGGGTATATCTGTTTCTGTGCCAATTTTCCTAGGGAATAATGAATGGAAATTTGGAAATTTTTTGTTTTGAAATGGGAATTTCCTCAAAGCTCCAATCCCTGTTTTGAAATATTTGTTTACAGAAAATTTTTCTCATGAAATATTTGTGAACTTTCTTTAGAGGCTTTAACGCCACGACAGGAAAGTAGAATTGCAATAGACGGTAAGTAATATTAATAGCATAGGTTCTTGCATAGTTCAACCAATGTGAACTCACATGAAAAGAAGCCTTCTGACTCATTTACCTTTAAGGAATGATCTATTGCATAATTCTAACTATATTTTCTGAATTAATTCCACTGACTACGAGAGAGGAATTGACTAAGCCGTTGAAAAGTCGAAGTCTGGGGAAAAGCATTTTCATTCATAAGTTTTTTGCAAAAATGTTTTTCACCAATATTTCAGGAGGCAAGTGGAAATGCTTTTTGCTCTATAGCAGGGTTTACCTGACTGGGGTTAATGACTCCAGTGAGACACGTTGGTGAGTCTTTTGTACCCGTCTTACAACTAAGCAACAAAATGAATCAAAGGAACTTACTTTCTGATGATCGGAGTACAATGGAGCTGATAATCTAGAAATTCGCTTACTGCAAGATTTTAGTACGAATTACATTCTTGAAACAGTAGAAAGCAATAATTTTCTGCTCTAAAAACCGTTGATAGCTAAGTAATTTCAGATTTCTGCCATTTACTTTCTCTATTTGCCTATTGATTTTTTTATCCTTATCCCATTGCCGTGAGTATGACTCATCCTTTGCCTTTAATCAATATATCGATTTGCTTTTTTATCCAACGTCCGTAAGCACTATTTCCCATTCGAATAGCTTTTCAGATTGCTAATCGTAAGGTTCGTGCATCTTCTCTGCTCTTCTCTTGAAAACCAGCCCCTCATCAACTCTGTCTTAATGCTTTCCTAAGACAGCAAAGTTTGTGTAGTCAATAAGTACAGTAGTTTAATTAAAGTTGGAGATAATATTGAGCAAACATTGAAAATGCGGAGTGCAATAACTTATTGTGCAGAAAGATGACAGTGAACGATTAAACCTACTAACTGTTCCACATGATGCCTTCAGGAATGCTGACCTGTTGCCCTCACCTTTTAACTGTCACAGGTTTTATATCGTGGAGCTAACTGAACCTTCATGCTTGAAAATAGAGACTACTAGTAAAAATGCTTAGTTATCTCATCTCCGCCACGTTAAAGTTGTAAACAGCGGAATATCATGTACACTCCTCTGACAACCCAACTATTGAAGGAAAGAAATTCCCAGCTCACCCTTCACTTCTCTCTCCCTCAGCTTCTTCTTCTTTGTGTATTATTTTTACTTAGAATTTTTTCCCTATTACCGTTGAAGACTCTTCACCCGACAAAGATTGTCGTCTAGTCATATCTTATAAAAAGGGGTTGTGCGATAGACTTACCTCCACGTGGTGCACCCTGGGCAACGCATACTCATACGGCAAAAAAAGTCTATAAATCGGAATTTGACTTCTGACTTCAACTTACCATGACCCCACTGTATGTCATATTCGACTACTTCTACAGTACTCACCTCACCTTTTTTCTACCATTTCTACCTTCGTCTTTGAAACACTCCCCCTTCCTCAATCTAGACTTTTTCACTTTGTTGTTCACTTCCCTCTGTGAAGCCTGAAGTCAACTAAAGGGCTAATGATAACCATCAAAACGCCTGCTATTTGATATAAATAAATAAATATCTTATAACAATAAAATTCATTCTTTGGTCAAACTGAATGTTATTAATTACTTCTTCACTTATTGCTTCATATTGATTTTACGCTTTGTTATTAATACGACAGCTTTATGGTTGCACAATAGCCATTATTACGGCTGAAGTCAGCTTCTACACATTAAAAAATGATCTGGTAATTGAGTGCCACCCACGGTAAAGAACCTGACTCTTGGACCATGTGCATCGACCTTTCTACTTCTATGTATACTCATACGGCAAAAAAGTCTATAAACCGGCAGTTGACTTCTGACTTCAAACTACCATCACCTCACTGTATGTCATATTCCACAACTTTCACAGTACTCACCTCACCTTTTTTCTATCTTTGTGTCTGTCTCTTTTACATCTTTGAAACACTTTTCTGTTCCCCCCCCCCCCCACTCTCGACTTTTTTCACTTTGATGTTCCTTCCCCTCTGTGAAGCCTAAAGTCAACAAAAGGGCTAATGATAACTACCAAAATGCCTGCCATTTGATATAAATAAATACTTCTAGAGTTCCATAAAGTTTGTGAGATAGCATATCAAATTTCTATTGAACTAAACAATTGAATTGAATTAGTTTCTCTGCTGCCTTCGCTCTTTATAAATTGATAAAAATTGAGTTCTAGCTTGGAAGACGCTGCCGTAAATGAAAAAGTCAACACTTTACACCTGAACATAGTGGATACAGAGTCAAGTGTGTTTGGTAAAGTTAAAAACATACCATCTAGATGATTCTGCTGGACTCTTTCACTAAACTATGAAAATAATGAATGCATTTTCCTAATATTTTTAAAATAAAGGGGAATTAAATATGTTCAGCAAGCTAAGAAATGTTTATTATTTATCTTTAAAACTATTAGAATGAAACAAAGGACTACACATTAGGATAAATATGACCCAACCAGATTCCATATGTCAAATTTCCTTCTTTATTTAATTTCACATCCAATTCAAAGTTTATATAATTTCTCTTTTTTAGCACTGTTTTTGGAAAATGTATTGTAAAAAACAATTAGTGGTTTGGAGAATGGATACCAATGCTCTATTGGAGCCTTTAACACAACAGCCTTTAAAGCTTTCGTTGTCAACAGCGCTTAAGAAGAACAATTAGGTAGATAAAATACTTTATGGATAAAATGGTAGGGTTTCAGTGTTTGAAAAAACTTATTTGAGGCGACATGTAACGGAGTTTCCATGGAATTATCATATGAGGTTAATATAAGGTTTTAATTTTGAAGCAATAATCAAATTCAAAGTTGATGGCGAATGAAGTGGTACCGATTTCTACAAGGAAATGTTTTTCCCAAATAGTAACTTTAATCGCGAAAAATGACAAATTCATATAAATTTACTATATGATCGCGCACACCCTGACTTTGTTTGATATTTCAAAAATGATGGAACAAATGCACCTCAAATGACAAGCAAGTTTGAATCACCGAGTCATAAATGTTAAAAAGGATTCAAAGAGCAAAACTTTATTGAAAATTCTGATTTAGAGATAACACCATAGTTGAATGTCAGGATTTATGGATCTAGAGGTACCGGAGCCAGTCGATTAAAAGTTGTCAGCACATCTTTTGTCAATCTATTACAAAACAAATAAAAGTTACATTACCGGAAAAGAAGACTACTAATAAGAAGCTGCATTGGATAAAACTAACCGCTTTGTGAGATGCCGGTAGAAATCTTGAGGAATGATCGTGACTCGAATTAAGTCATTTTCAGCAGCCTTGATCACTTCAGCAATTTTTTCATCAGGAAAGCCAATGACGTTTATTCCATTAATTTCACAAATTTGACTTCTTTTGATGACTCCATTATTTTCTGCACTGCTTTCATTAAGAATTTCGACGACTCCTCCTTTAACAATAAACATGCCCACTTGTCCCTGATCATTTCTCGTCAGATCAACAACGCGTTCCAGTGGTCTAAGTGAAAGCATATCGAAATGTAATAATCAGTAAAAAACAGAAACTGAAAGCTTAATGGGCAAAGAATTAAGTACCTGTCACGAATTATAAATGAAACTGCACGTAATTTCAAACTTAACGCATATTCATAAGCATCCTTTCCCTTCATTCCAGCAACATTCTTATCACCAATTCTTAAGATTTGATCACCAAATCGAAGTCCAACTTTAGCGGCAGGGGTGCCTGCCCTCACATGCGAAACAAATATTCCATTTTCAAAATTTCGAAGAGTCATTCCAAAATTGCACTTGCTTTTAATAATCAATTCGCGAACCTCCTGATTTACTGGGATGGGATCTCTGGGTTCGGGCGTTTTATTACCTGGTATAGCTATTCCCATAGTGTTAAAAAGGGTAGCACCATTTTCAGGCATAGGAAAATGAACTTTATCACCATTTTCATTGTTTTTGAGGTTATTCCAATCAAGACCCAAAAACGTATTGGATTTTTGTGAATCATTAGAATTATTTTTAGCATTTTCCTTGGCTGCAATGACTCCTTCAAGACTTGATTGAGCAGGCATTTTCGGATGCTAATGTTTTAGAATACTGATAAATATAAAAATATAGGATTAGTAAGCGAAAATATAAAACTAACATATTGAATCCCTTGACGTCAAATAATGATTCTAAATGTTGTAAAATTGCCATACACTGAAGGGCAAACATAAGAAAAATTTCACTTAGCTAAACAAAAAAAGACATTTTTGCAAAATAAAAATAATGAAAACATTAATTGGCTTTTTAAGTTCTTTGAATTAATAAACCGTCGGATTTTTTGTAGACCTGTGATATTAATCTTCTTGTAACTAATTCAATAAATTAATTTTAAAATAATTTAACCAAATGCTATACGCTACCTAACATTCATTATAGCATAAAGAGAGGTGCGCGATAGAATTACCTTCACGCGGTGCACCCTGGACAACGTATTTTCTTACGGCAAAAAAGTCTATCACTCGGCATTTGATTTGACTTCGATTTATCATGATTAATAACTTGAAAAAAGGCTATAAGAGAAATCGCCCTCGTCAGGGTGAACCGCAACGTCTTCAGATCCTCCAGTGGAATGCTGTGGGGATGTCACTGGACAAAAAGATCCAAGTACAGAAAATCCTACAAACCTATGATGTAGACATTTTCACAATTATGGAAGCAAACATTTCGGATGACAAACTAAAGTACTACCGATTCCCAGGTTACACCATGTACCTTCTATCTAAATACCGGCAAGTTTCAAATGGAATTCTAACTGGAGTAAAAGAAGGCCTCACCTCACAGTACGAACTAATCAAGAGTATGGGCTCGACACAAGACATATGTGAAATAATCAGATTAAATGTTTGGAAATGTCAAAACCACTTCAAGGTATATGCGGTCTATAATCCACCCCAGAATTGACCCAACTTTGACTTTCTGAACATCTCACACAAAACTATAGTAGTAGGAGACTTTAACGCC